CCCCCCCCCCCCCCCCCCCCCCCTCCCCATGCGCACCCCACGCACATGCTTCGATTCTCAGGGGAGCAACCGCCGGGAGTTTCAATGCGTTCGTAGGGGTGCCCGTCCCAGCGGTACGAAACGGCAGGGAAGCGGAAACGTCGCCTAATGGGAGTGCTGGTGGTGGCAGTGGGGTCACCGCGGCGACCATGAGTGGGTGAGAAAAGGAGTGGGGGCGGGGGGTAGTGCGTAGCCGATGGTGTTAGAGTTTATTCACGAGCTTGTCGGGCCGGTTAAGGACGAGTCTTGCGCGAGTGCGACGAGGTGTCGACCCGATCTAAGATGTGCGTGAAAAGTGTGGCGGCACTAGTACATTTCAAGGACCCTGCACTGCTGGAGCGGCTTGGGGGGGTGTAAGTTACAGCAGTGGTTCGTTGTGTGGCCGCCAAGATCCTTGTCAAGACACTTGGGGCGGCATTTCTTCATGGGGTACACCCCGCATCGTTCTGGACCTACTGTTATGCTAATCTTGAGTGAGCTTTGGGACCACGGAGCGTAGTTTGTGTGCCTGGGTGAGCACATGTTGCAGCAGGTTTTTGTTGCTATTTTAATGCCACGGCAAACAACGAATCTTGATTCGGGGGCCGCCCCCGAGGTGTTGTAAATGCCCGTCGCCGCAGGATGATGCACGCGTTCTTGGGAAGGGTAGAGGCGCAGATGCGGGAAAGTGCCCTGTGGCGAAGGGAGACCGAGGAACAATGGGAGGATACCAGGGAAAGCCTGGAGAGGATTGTGATGCACAAGGTATCGTCATTGTTACAACGTTTGATATTTTCTACTATCAGTGTTGTTATTTTTCGCCATTTGGTGATGTTCCTCGCATTGTTATTGCAATTCATCTGCTACACTCCATAAGGGGTTCTTACCGCCCTTACTCCTCCCTTGATGGCCATGCTCCGGGATTTCACGCCTGCCCGGTTGGATCGATTTTGGGGTATTCATTACGGTATGTGTAACAGCGACTTCTGAAGACGAAGGTCGAATTGGAGTAAAGCAAGGGATGAGCAAGGTACGGAAAGGATGCGCTAAAGGCGTGGGAGGAGCGGTGATATTCGTGCTTGATATGGATGGGGGGGTTAAGTTGCTCATCGTGGCCGATTTTTTGCGAGGACAGAACATGCCCTGGACATGAGTTGCACGTGGGAATGCGGTAAGCATCGCAGAAACACGATCCACCACAGCAGCAACAACAACAACGGCAGTGACAATGACGACGACCACCACGACCACCACCACCAGAAGTAGCGGCAACAGAAACCACGATAACACCCTCGACAACCAACAGGTGTTCGATCAGGCCTACGGGCTCGCGGCGGACCCGGGAAGGGACTCGTCGATCTCCACCCGACTCCGCTCGCTGGGCTTCCTGACGGAGGAGCACCTAGGCGTGCCTCCCCTTGTGGACGCGGAGGTGACCCATGTTTTTTTTTTGTCCCTTGCGGGATGCGGCTTCTTCATTCGGATGGCGGAACCGAGCTGCAACTGCACAGTTTATTCCGTAACAAGCTATAGTTTTGTGGATGTTAATTGCAGTGGAAGGCATTGCTGCGTGTTGCTGCTTCAAGAAATGAACAATTCGAAAAGTGGTCGGAACATTCTTTGATACGGTGTTCCAAGTGTTGTAGCCTATGCATTGCTTCCAGAAGCATCACGCTTTCACGCGTGGCCTCCGCCTTGGTGGCGTGGCACGACCGGAGGAAAGAGCAGCATTCTTTCTCCTCTCGCTGGTCGTAGCACCACCACGGCATCCCTTGTTGTCGGTTTTCCGATCGGCGCCGACGGGGACAAGAGCAGGCAGCCCTTGGGTGGTTGTGACACACGGCGCCATGTACACGAAGGCTGTTTCCGTTTTCGCGTGTACATGGCTTTCCACGCCATCCAAACGAATGAGCAGCTCATTTTTCTTGGCCACATTCTCGTCTGTTTCTTCTCCCACCCGCTCTGGTCGGTTTTGGTGTCAAGCGGAAGCTGATGCAAGGGTGCTGAATCTGATGTTCTTGTAGCCTCCTCTCCCTTTCACACATCCCAGCTTTTCTGTCGTTTGACTGATTGATGTTGCTGCTGCACCATCCGTTACAACAACACAGGAGGATGGAGCACCCACCTGGGCCGACGCAGAGGCGCAGCTCCTCAAGATGTCACGGATGAGGTGCCCGGGAGACATGTTGCGGTGCATCGTCAAGTGAGTGCCTCCGCTACTCCCGTTTCCCGAGGCAAAAACAAGAACGGCAGCACGGCTTAACAGTCAGTAGGTGACCATGGGAACGCCTACGGTGTGCACTCGTTGAAAAGGGCACTGCAGCCTGCGTAGGAGGTGGTGTCTAGGTTGCGACCCATCGCCTGTTGTAAGTCGAGCTGGCCGTGTTTGGGAGGAAGGCAAATGTGGAGGGTGGAATGAACAACAGGCAGCGTGAGCCATACTGCTATAGTGGGGCACCGATGGGCAGCAGACTGAACCAAGCCCTTCGTGAGAACAGCTAGGGTGGGAAGCAGGCGATGAGTTGTTTTGACTGCGGTTTATTCACAGTGCAAAATAGCCAGGGAGAGATGGCGCGATTGCAACCCCGCACCCCGTGCGGCGGAACGTCTCTTTTCCTCACCCCCGCCATCACGTATTTTTCACTCTTTCTGACGCGGGTGTGTGGGTTATTGCTTGCTAAATCCGCCCGCATTGCTGCATCAGACACTGAGCTATTATGATGGATACGACTCGCGTTTTCCTCCCCCCCCCCCCCTCCGCCGCCGGGCCGGCAAAACCCCGGCATATCGCTCCTCCGTCCCGGCGTTGCAGGGATGCGAGGTCGATGGTCCAAAGACTACGGCACGCGTTTACATTGGTCCCCCCCGTCCCCCCCCCTCCAACCCCCAGGTGCACGCGTATCGTGGCGGGCCTCCTCACGGGCGACCGGGCGGCCGGCGGCGCGCTCCCCGGCGCGGACGACTTCCTCCCCGCGCTGATTCTGCTCGTCAAGCGGGCCAATCCGCCAGGCTTGCACAGCACCTTGGAGTTTGTGCAGGTGCGGAGCGAGGCGGGGGACGAAGGAACGATAGCAGCAGGACATGTTCGACCGTCTGTCTCGCGATGAAGACGAACGGAAGAGCCTGTCTGGTGTTTGTGTGTTGGGTGTTGAGCCCCGAGTTCGAGGTGATGCGCTGGATGGGTGTGGATGGATTGACCGATGGGATTCGGTGCGGTGGTTTCAGGGACGTTTTTTTTGTGTTGTTCAGGAACTGCCTCGTGCATGTGTTGCTCCCCCTCCCCGCCACCCGCGGGCGTGTGTTGCGCTGTTCTTTGTTGCTTGTTGGCCAATAAAATCACCGCTTTATTCGCTCCAACCTCCTTCCCTCGTGCAGAGCTTCCGCGAGCCGTCCAAGCTTCTATCCGAGGCGGGCTACGTGCTGACGCAGCTCGTCAGCGCCGTTTGTTTTCTCGAAGAGGTAGGTGGGTCCGTCGGTCAGTCGGTCGATAGGTTCAAACAAGCAACAGGGGGGGGGGCGTCGGGGATAGCTCGATTTTGCCAAGCCACTCGTCGCATGTTGAGTTGACCTTGCATCCGTTTGGAGGAGGGGAAAGGGCGTCCCTTCATCCAAGCTTGTTATGTACCGCTACGAGTTCTGGGACGTGTCACCCCTGTCCCGATTTGTTGTATCAAGTGGTCCGAAACGCTGGCGGAACACGCCGTCAGTGCTGTTGGCCATCTCACGACCAGTCGTCGACGCGAGCAGAGCATTCTAGACACCCTTTCGTCCTATATTTAACCCTGTGTACATGCCGTAAATGTCGGAGAGATGGCACCCCCGTGTATTTTTTGTTTTCAGCGTATTTCTTTACAACCAACGGGGGGTACCACTGCCGAAATGGGTAGTTTTGGAAGCATCTCGTCGAGGGCTTTCCGGAGAGGTATCGGTTGGTGTTTGCACCCTCCTACATACCTGTGGAGAAATACGCTTGTAAGAAAACGTTAACACGGGGGTGCCATTTCTCCGACCCTCACGGTACGACTGCTAGCGTTGGTTGTGTCTGGCGGACCATTGCTGGTCGAAAACCCTGTGCGAACTAACGGAAGCTGTCTGCGCACAACGACCCGGGTAAGCATCTTAGTTATCTGCACACATCTGTCGAGTGAAAACGTTGTGCCCGCCTGCACGCACCTGTCAGGGGAATACGTCGTGCTACATCGTCGACAACAGTTGCACATACACATCGTACGTACCGGATGCAACAAGAGCCAGGGCACCCGAATGTTTCGCGGAATAAATGTGCACGCCCGCAGGTCGACGCCTCGGTGCTGAGCATCGCCCACGGGGATTTCGAGCGAGGCTTGATCCAGGGCTTCCAGGAAAGCGCCAGGGTTGGCCTGCAGGCGCACCAGCAAGAGGTGTGTGTGTGTGCGTGTGTTGTTTCTTTTTTTTTTTGGCATCGACGTTTGCGCTAACCGGCTGACCGAGTGAAGAGGTGTCAAAGTGCGGTTGACAACAGAAGGCACCTTTAAAGTCTGTAGACCCGATGCGCGTTTGTTAGTGTGTGCGTTTTTTTTGCTTTGTTTCGACATGCCGTTTATCACCCTTCGCTCGCATTTCACGCTACCCTAATGACATTCATAAAGATTCTGTGCTGTCAGTGTCCGTGCACGAGGCACATCATGCTGGCCGTGTTAGCATGGCGCTATCACGGCTCTCCGTGCCGACTGCCTTCACGTCACAAGTGATGATACTGAGTATCACCTCGGTCTTTCCGCACACAGTGACTTTGTGGTTTCGACGTTTGGGTGGCAATCTTCCTTTTTCGCCGTGTGGAACCAAGCGGCGGATCTCTCCGTCTATCTCTTGTGTGTGTTCCCTTTGCTCGGAGGTGCAGTGTAGATACCGTGTAGGCACGGACTGTCCGTAGGATGCCACACCTGTAGGTAGACTATTTGGCGATCGACGTGTGTTTATTGTTGAATATCGCCTGCTGAGTGGGGCATTTTGTTTTTTGTTTTTGTGGCCCTTTGGGTGTAAGCCGGCATGCGGTACAAGAACAATGGCTCATACGGTATCCAATTTCATCGTTTCGTCATCTACAAACATGTTCAAGAGTAACCGAGGAAACAGAGATGATGAACGAATGCGTTCCTTAGATCACGTTTTTGATGGCCTGCCCCACCCGTCCCATCCAACGTCTACCTGGCGTCAAAATTCCCAAAAAATAGACGCAAAAGCGACGCCCCATCAGTGTCGCTATATGTTAATGAGTGAGGCAGTGATTTACTCTCCGTTTGGCATCTATAGCATGAAACCCTTCGTTAATTCGGTGCCTTGTGTCTGCCACGGCAAACGTGCGAAAAACTCCCCAGGTCAAGAAGGAAGAGGAGCATGCTCGGCTGCTTCATAGCAACTCCCAGGGCCGCGCCAATGGCCCTATTCCCGGGTCAGCGACAACCTCGGCTTCGTTGTCACCGCCTCCATCTGGCGATCACGCTTCTGCGGGCACGGCTGCTGCGGTCGGGGGGGGTGGAGGAGGGGAGGCTAGTGCTGGCATCCCCGGACCCACTCCCTTACCACAGGTTGGTAGCCGCTGATTTGCTTGGTCTTGTGGTGTGGTGCAAAACCTACGGAACAAATCCACCGAGAATCGTTGTTCAGAACCTTTCGGCTCCGAGGGTTAACGACAAGGGTTCGGATGCAGCCATGCTAGTGCTGGCTCCATGAGCGCAGATGGACGTGGTGGACTTGATACGACTGGAATCGGGAAAGCGAGTGATAGCATACCCGAAGAGCGCGGACGTGGTGACATGTACGGCAAAGGCGATGTGCGCAGCAGCCAGTTTATTGCTGCGGGTCCTTGAGATGACGTGGCCGTAGAGAAAAAAATGCGCCTTGTCTGTACACACTTTGACGCGTGGCTTTGCCCCATTTGTGGTAATCGGTTCCCTCCTATTCTCCCTCTAATTCTTGCGTCCACCCGCCCTTGTCGAATCCCTCAACTTGGCGCGATGCAGCCGGAGCCGCCTCGAACAATCGGGACGGCCGAGGTACGTGCCCGGCGCCAAGCTGCAACAGCAGCGGCGGCAGGAGCGGCGATAAAGTCGTTGCCCTACAGCAGCGCTGCTGTGTCCGCGGCGTCACTAGCAGCAGGAGGGAGTGGAGGAACGTCGGGCACTGGGCCTTCTCCTCGCGAACGGCTCCCTTCTGGTCGAAGCCGACACCGACAGCAGAGGAATGGCGGCAGCAAGCAGCAGCCGGTGGTGCTGCAGCAGCTCCGGTTCGTCGGGTGCACGGCGGCGGAGCTTCGGATGTCGGAGGTGCCCGCTCTCCTGGCCGAACACGACCAGCTCGCTCGGCTGTGCGAGAGCCTCCTTGCGGAGCGCGAGGAGATGACTATTCCACACCGCCGCCGGTAGTACGCCAGGGTAGTGATATATCTATCTCGTGTCAAGTCTATCGGGCCCTGTAGCTTGTGGTGTTCCTTCGACAGCGTGCTACCTACAGTCGGCCTTTTTGCTGAGGGAGGGCGATCGGATTTTGGTCGAGAGTGGTGGGAACAGCAAGTTCCCACCCGTGGGCTTGAGCATTGTCCGGATCATCCGTCGAGAGATGCATGTCTCTACATGGGAAACATGTAGCGTACGTTCGCTTCGATAAAACAAGCAACGAAAGGGATTTATTTCCAGTCCGGACGGATGAAATGGATGGCGCAGCACGGTTGTGTAGGCGAGGCTTTGTAGTGAGTTTGTGAGAAGTTCGAGGTGCAGCGGAAACTTGCCGTGCGATTTTGGCAGGCCAGGGCATGAATAGCGCACCTGTGTGAGGAAGAAGGCTTCAGCAACACGACAAGTCTTACACCGGTGCTCGGTCTGGTGTAAACGAGCGGAACGCGGGGAAAGCCTGGGCAACGTCGCCTAGATTCTCCGTACGTGGGAGTGTATGTGACCGGCTGCACCAATGCGCCGACCTTGAATATGCAAAGAAACTGCTTCTTGCTTGACATTTTGGATGCTTCTTGACGGTAAAAAACATCACGGAACGGGCTCCGGGCGGACATCCGGACGGACATTCACTACCGAGTTCCACACATCCGCCTTGCGCGAGATGGGGTAAATGAAGTATACAGCGAAGATACGCTAGGAGTGGTTGATGTTCATGTTGCCTAAATGAGTGAACATGGCAGAGACCACGTGGGAGATTCCGGCGCAAAGCATCGTATATCTCTTCTCCGTGCATCACGGCGTTGATATGAAGTTGATCGAAACAAGCGGTCGGACACCGATAGCAATGGGCGGCGGCGGTCATTGATGTCGGGTCGGACAGAGTTGGGTTCGTCATAGTAATCCGTACACGAACTCCCAACCTGCAACACGGACGAGCAAACAGGCCACGTTCACGCACACCATAGACGGCGGGTTGACATATCGTCATGAATAAAAAGCTACTACGTGTCGATCAACCCTCGTGCCCTCCCACTCATATGGATCAATACTGTAACCCAAACGACGAAACAACCAAGCGCAGGCCAACGCCACATGTCCGCTCTGTCGCCGTCCCTGCACCTGCAGCCCGAAGGGCTGGAATAACTTGTCGACACGTGAACATGTGTCGGCCCGGGGAAAAAAAAGAACAAGCGTTTCGGGCACAGGAGAAGGACAATCGCCGACAAAAGGCAAGAGCACAGCTTCCAACGACCACCGAGACCATCATTGCAACCAAGGCGAGCAGATAGCCCTCTACGCCAGAAAATACCACAAACGGACAGGAGGAAAGACGCATCTGTCTTTAACATACACAACAAAAAGAAGCGCCTGCTTTGACGTTGGTCATGTTATCTGATCTTCATGAAACAAGCCCCGACAAATATCAGACTGACCTGACACCTATGAATAGACTATATCCGGCCTGCCCATCATCCCATCACCCGGCAAGGCTCCAGAATCACTCTCGACTATTCACACCATTTGCACACGTGACGCCATGCATTTTCCCTCGCTGTTTCGTCACAAAAAAAGCAGCATCAAAGAAGTCATTAGGGGCCGCAAGATACGGTACTACCGACAATCCATGAGTGCTGAGCCCATCGCAGGGCAACGACGTTTTTCCTATGAATGAAAGTGTGTTCAGACAGACACAGAGACGCGAGAGTATAAACACAAACAAATAAACGCCTAGTACATTCGTGACAACATTGAAGCATACATGTCGGAGAAAGAGCGTATTCTCTTCCCACAACTACGTATGTATCCGAGTGACTAATCAACGAACAACAACGACACCCGAGCTGGCCAATTTTCCAGATAAATGAACCGTGCACAACAAGCACATAACCGCGGCCTTACACAACAGAGGGTAAATTCGATCGTTTTCGTTGAGGCATGCAACGTTCTACAGGAGAAAAGGCAAAACCGTAAACACAAAGTTACCTACGACCCGGTCTTTCATAGAGAGTGCGAAACAAGTGAACCGGTGTAAACTCTTGCAGTACTGCATCGGAATGCACCGGCTCTACGGGACAAAAGCCGAGACCGTTCTAAAACGTGACCAGCCAATCTATCGTAGGGCGTGCGAAACCGGTGAACCAAACACGCTACACCGCACCAAGCCCTTGCTTCACTTCATTCACCGCATCATCAAAGGCGCAGGAGGGACTGAACGGTTCGGTCCCTACAGCAACCCGTGAGTGCAAAATCAACAACAATAGCCTACAAAGACCGCCTCCTTCATTCGTTCATTCGTCCCTCATGGTCAATCAACGACGAAAAGTAAACCAAGACTAGCAAAGGGGGCACGGTTTGCATATCTTTCTCTGCAAGATGTAGCATCAGAGGAGCAGCGGCAAGAGCAACAACGGCCCTGTCTCCATCAACGTGCTGAGTCCGAAATCTAAGAATGAAGCAACGAGCTATGCTAGAAGCACAGCTTGTTGCTTCGTTAAGGGCGCTATTAAAGAATCAATTCGGCGCGTGACGCACACTAGCCAAAAAGAAAGAACGGAATCCTGCGTCAATTACCCGTGAAAGGCATCATCTGCAGCAAGTGCAGCGACAGCCCAATATGGAACGGTCATGCTCTGGCCACTGCACCCCCGGAAGGGTGCTAGTCAGAAGGGAGAGATAAAATCGAAACCAACGAAATCAATTTTCGCCGCAAGCTGGTCGGCTGAAGTTGTGTGCGGTACAATGCGCCGGTGCAGATACCCTCCATGCCTCCGCGCCCCCCGGAGTTGCCCAGGACCTTTTCTAGGCATCGCCGGTCTTACTTGCCGCTCGTTTGCGGTGGCCTCCTTCCGCCCATGCCCAGCCCCCTCCGACCCGGCTTTTTCCGTTTCCCCAAAGTCTGCCCCCCCCCCCCCCCCCCCCCCCCCCCCCCCCCCCCCCCCCCCNCCCTCCTTCGTCTCCTCGCGCCCGCCAACGTGCGCCGAGCCATGGAAGGGGGCCACTACCGGAAGGTCCACGTCGTGCTGCTGCTTGCCCTCGCTTGCTTCCCTCGCCAGGGCCGTGATCGCCTGTGTTAGATATACAACATATCCACCGAGCTAAACAGTGAGCGCTGACTAGTCTAATGGTTTAACATTTGGGCAAAGAAAGATATACGCTAAGCTCATTAGCACCCGGCTGGATCTACGAGCCGAGAGTATATATTTTGTTAGAAAGGCTTAACCCATTAGACTACCCAGTCAGCGCTGACTCAGTAGTCAAGTGGGGTGTGCCTTTCTAACAAATCGACGGATACCCTGCGAATCGGGTCCTCCTTAACATAGGGAAGTTCCACGACCGTCTTCCCTACTGTACATCGCTACCGAATGGATGCGGCTCATCCTGACCTCCCGGGCCTGGGTTTTGACCCTTGCTCTGCCCCTCCTGGCCCCCCTTTGTGCTGCCCCTGCCGTCTCTCTCGGTGTATCTCTCTCCGGTTATTCTCATGTCTCGGTGTAGAACACGATGGTGGTGCTCATCAGGCACAAGCTGTTCTGCGTCAAACCTGGAGTTCCACGGCCACCCGTTCGACAACGACCTCAAGACGTGCTATGATTTCGTTCTCGAAATGGGCATCCAAACGCACCTAGTGTACGTGAAGTGAGTCGATTCAAAACATCTCGCTGTTGTGGCCCGAGCTCCGCATCGTGAGCCATGTTTTATTATTCAAAGCGGAGGGAACGCGTTTTCGTTGTGGTTCCGCAAATTTGACAGAGCACTACCAAACATTCGTTTCCTCCTGGGCGCATGCTGTCGAGCTCGAGCTGGAGAAAGGTCCAACTTACGAGGCAGTGTTTGCCAGGCACCCAAATATGATTTACCTTCACAAATTCACGCGACTACGTCGTGACGGTCTGGTACTCTAGTACTCACTTTCCCCCCGAGATACCACGTTTAAGAGTGGTATGCACGTATGTTCGAACGCTTTTTTGACATTCCGTATTTGTGTGTTCGTCATCAAGTCAGCCAACCGAAGGGTTTTCAAAGTTGCCGGTAGTCGGGGGGGAGTGCGCGATGAACAATCAACTGTCCAAATGCCACGGTCCCTTCCCCCGGGGTACACACTGTTCCAGCTCGAAAAGGGAATATTTTCCAGGGGGCGTCTTGGGCGTCCGGTGTATGAACAGACGAAAGAGGCCACCTCGCGGCAGCGAAGTGCGAGGTGGAGCAGACGTGCGAGCAGGAGCAGCAGCAGGAGCAGCAGCATCAGAAGTGGCAGCATCAACAGACGTGACCGCCACGGTTCCCCCGGAGGAGGGCGTTGGAGACGCGGCCGCAACGGGCCGACGTCTTGGTGCTGGAGGAGGCGAGGGGTCGGCGAAGGACAGCAGCGACGACGACAACGACGGCCTCAACAAGGACGGTACCGCGGAGCCCGGGCAAGACGGCGAACTCGGCTGTGCCGCATCCCCTGCGAGCACCACCAGGGACCGGGACGAACGGTGCGTGTGTATGTGTGCGGTCACGTCGTCAGGCATCCAGAGGGTTTCCATAGTGTGGCGGTAGTCGGGGGAGGGTGCACGCTAAACAACTGCCTATAGGTCCCAATGTTTTGGATACACCGTACCCAGGTTGAAACGTCCAAATAGTGCTTGTTTGATTTCTCCCTTCGTGTTTTCAGCTCAGAACTACGCGAGGGGGGACCCCAAGACAGCGGCGACAATGACGTAGACGACGACAGTGGTGGAGGAGGAATACTCGCGACGCCAGCAGTAGCTGGGTGTAGTACCCATCAGCAGGCTAGCTCGTCTACCATCGAACTTTGCAGCATGCGCAGCACGGCTGCTGCAAAGATTCAGAGTCTGGTGCGAGTGTTCCAAGCCTACAAGAGGTACCCGATGTGTGTGTTTTCATGAAGAAGGTTGACTGGAGGGGGGGGGGGATGGGAGCTCGTACTAGACAATCGCCCATGAGTAGATTTTGATCACATAATAATGATGCCGTTACCCTCGTCGGAGTTCCGGTTTCTTTACCTGGTGCTGCTCCCAGCAGCTGCTTGCGTCGCGATTTCTCCTCTTCCGGCGCGGTCACTATCGCGGTCGTCGTTTCATCGTCGCCGCTGGTATTTAGCCTTATGAACTGGAAGTACCAGGAGAAAATGGGGACAGAGGGCGGCGTAGAAGCCGAAATCAAACCAAATGGTTTGATTTCGGCTTCTTAAGTGGTTGTAAAATTCACATGGATACGTTGAAAAATGGAGTGATGATGCAACGTCCGTGTGCATACGTGGTCACGTCAGGCATTCGGAGGGTTTCCAAAGTAGTGGCAGGCAGGGGAGAGGGAGCGCTCTGAATTATTGCCCAATTGTCGCGACATGTTTGTGTACATCGTGCCCTGGGTGAAACAACGAGTGCTTGCTCTGAACACGCCAAAGCTTTTCGGGGGGGGCGTCTGGTGGAATGTCTGAAATACATCGTCAATGCACTACACGTTTATGACGGGACAGCATCTGAACATTACTGGCCCTCCGTCACTGTGTTTTGTTGATATTTTCAGGGCATGGAACGACGCATGGAACGCTAACAGGGGGGGGCGCAGGGCTCGCCGCAGAGCTCGCAACGCCTTGAAAAACGCCAATCACCCCGTGGCGGCGATGGGGCAAGGCGGAGCGATAGCCGGCGGCGCCGCGGTGGATCAGGCGGTGGTGGTTGAGCAGGCTGTGGTCGGCAATGTCGCGGTTGATCAGGCCGTGGCGGTTGATCAAGCGATGGACGGCAACGTCGGGGTTGATCAGGCGGTGGTTGGCGAGCCCGCGGTTGATCAGACGGTGGTGGTTGATCAGGCTGTGGTCGGCAATGTCGCGGTTGATCAGGCCGTGGCGGTTGATCAAGCGATGGACGGCAACGTCGGGGTTGATCAGGCGGTGGTTGGCGAGCCCGCGGTTGATCAGACGGTGGTGGTTGATCAGGCTGTGGTCGGCAATGTCGCGGTTGATCAGGCCGTGGCGGTTGATCAGGCGGTGGCGGTTGATCAAGCGGCGGTCGACGACGTCGAGGGAAAAGCGGGAGCGACGTCAACCGGAAACGAAGCAGAAGTAGGAGACAGTGCCGCCACCGTTCGACGAGGGCGGACTGTTGGAGACGTGGCCGCGGAGCCCGAGCAAGAGGACAAGGTCGCCGACGCTCCACCCCGTGTGGGCGGCACAAACAGGACCAGCAAGGTCTCGGTGGCGCGCCGTAACACCGGTGCTGTCGTCGGCAAGGCTCGTAGCCCCAAGCCGCCACTTCTGGTAAGGGGGAGGGGGTAGCCCGTCTTCCTATTCAGTCACAGTGCTCAAAATATGGAAGAGTTTTTCGCAGTTGTTGTAGGTGTTACTGCTTCGGTCAACTCACCTGGACTCTCGTTGACCGACTTCGTTTCAGTGCCCCGATGTGTACGCCCTGTTAGTTGATGTTGACTCATCGTGGAAACGCTGACTGTACACTTGGATGGCTCGATCAATACGGCTGTGAAACGTGCCACATGCACCTCGAATCAACACGACGGGGTGCTAGGTTCAGGTACCTCGCCACCGCGGCGATTTGTGCGCCGTACAGTGCAATGCTTGAAGGAGGAACAGTTCCAAACGGGAATGCTTCCAGCATGCCTCTGGCCCCTCACTAGCCTGTCGACCATTGTGGCTCTTCCCACCAAACGCACCTGTTTTTGCCAGCTGATCAATCAAGTTCCTCTCAAAGAGATGGCGATGACATCAAGACCTCGTCCGAAATGTCACGATCCTCCGCGAAGAGAAAGGGCGTGAACCTGAAGACTTCGCCCGCCATGCGACGGGCGCGCCTATTTACCGCCGAGGATGCTCCAAGCCAGAGTAGAGGCAGGCAAGTGACGAGGCACCAGGAGTCTCGTTCGGTTAATATCATAGTTGGTGAAAGCACATTGTGTTTGCGGGAACTGCACCGTACGTGGAGGGTGTGATCAACGCGCGTGAATACCGAACGACCGCTACTGTCTTCAGCAGTTGTGGTAAGTAGATGTGATCCACTTGCCACTTCGTTGCCGCAAAGGTCCATGCAGACCCACTGGCACGGATTCTGCACGTAAACTTGGCTGGGGTTTACCGCGCGATTGTCTTGTGCTCCACCAAAACACCCGGAGAGTTGAGAAGCATATCAAACGTGTACCCAAAACGAGCGACCTCTACCAAACGTATTCTACACCCCCCGCCCTCTGTCGGCCAGGCCGTCCTCGCACTCGCGAGTGTCGAAGGCGGCTGCAAATCGGCCGGGCCAGGCGGTGCGGCCTCCCGTCGTGGCGGTCAAGTCCAAGAAGGGTGGCAAGTTCGGCTCCGCGGCGAACACTGGAAAGAGCGTCGCCGAGGACTGCCCATCGGTAAGTGGGGAGAGAAAAGAATGGGTGATGGAGGGAAAGCACAGTAACGATCAGGCACCCGTGCGCGGGAGAGAGGGGGGAGAGGGGTAGTAACCTCTCTTGCTATTCTGGCGTTGTCTTGAGAAGGGCATGCTTTTGAAGGTGTTTTCGGCGATATGGCTGAGGTAGACATTTGCTGCTTGTTTCCATGGCCGAAGATGTCGGTTGGTGTTGCTCCGATGTGTATGCCTTGTCAGTTGAAAATATCGCGTACGCAAGGCTTGCGCTGACTGTACGCTTGGATGGTTCGATCAAAATGGCTGTAGCACGTGCCGCCTGCACCTTCCACGACGAGCGAATCATGAAGCTAGGGCGCCAGGTTCAGGGACCCCGCCACCGCGGAAATTTGTGCGCCGCACAGTCAGTGGAACATTTGAAGATTAAGTTCAAAACGCATATCCTCCCAGCATGCCTCCGGCACCTTACGGCCTGTCCATCCTTTTGGCCCTTACCTTGCGATGAACTTGATTCGAAGCAGATAATAACCGAAAAGGCGCACAAGGACTTGATACCCCCGTCGGCCTCGGTGCCTCGTCGACGTGAGGCAAGCGCGGTGCCGACCAAGGCGATCCGGAGTTGCCCGCCAAGAAAGCTCTCGCCGGGGCAGTGGGAAAGCACACCCCAAGCACCGAGGCCGAGTATCGGCAGGTAAGAGACGAGGCGCTGGGAGTCTTTCGATCGTGGTGGTTGGTGAAACAAGAACCGTGTGCACTAGATGTGAGAAGATGCGGCGAGACTTCATCGAGGGGACCACTACGGTTTAAGCTACTGCTGTTGTGAGCAGGTTTGGTCCAACCGCCACTTGGTTCCTACAGAGGTCCATCCAGACCTACATGTATTGGTACGAATGTTGTATGGCGATTTGGCTAGGTTATTGCCGCGTGTCTTGGATTTCACTTGAGGGAACAAACAGCAAGGGTAGAAGCGTAGCGGCTTGTACCCATACTCCCATTGTCTCGACCAACGTACGCTCTCCGCCCAGGTTACACTATGGTGGCGAACGTTCGCGTCAGCGGGTGTTAGAGCCGCCAGCAAGCCAGGGTGCGGCGTCGGCAAACCCATGGTGGCAACGGCGTCCCGTTGTGGTGGCCGAAGAGCAGGACGACAGGTTCGTCTCCGCCATTTCTTCGCGGAGCACTACCGGCAGCTGCAGGCTGCTACCGGTAGCCCGACGCGCCATCAACAGCAGCATCACCCGTAGCTACTGGCCGCTACCGGTGGCCCAACGCGCCATCAACAGCATCATCACCCGCAGCTACCGGCTCCTACCGGTGGCAAGACGGCTCATTGCCAAGAGCGTCACCAGCAGTCGGGTGAGGCTGACGCCGATGGCACGTCGTACTACCAGCATGGCAAACGAGGTAAGCAGTCCAAGGTCTTTGCACCCGGTACGAGAGCTAAGAGACAAGTCGATGCCGGTAGTAAGGCGAAGTCAGAAGGTACTGTAGGTCCGCGTGTTGTGTGAGGGAGGTGGGCATGGGGGGGGATGTCTTCCTCCTGTACGTTTTTTTCGGAGATAGAGATATTACCGAAGAGAATGTTAGTGGTGTAGTCTGTGCTTAGATAACACTTTCCATTGCTTGTGTCCATGCCCGATGGCATTGGTGTACGGTGTTTCGATGTGTGCCCTGCGAGTTCATGTTTACACCTCGTACGCATGTCTTGCGCTGACTGTACGCCGGACGGTCATATGGAACTTGATGCAATGGTATCGCGGAATGCACCCTGTACGACGATCGCAGCAAAGGAGCCGGGGGCCTGAATGCAGGACCCCGCCGCTGCTTCATTCAGCTTGTTCGCGGAATGGTGGAACGCATGACGGACGAATGAACAAGCTCCAGACAACGCTTCAACGCCTCCGGCTCCCCACCGCTGTGTTACCCTGTGATTCTTCCCACGAAACCTCTGAACCTCCACGTGTCGCTTTCATCGGCTTGTTCGGGCAGCCGGACGCTCCGTTAGCAATGCACTGTCGCCCACTCCACTCGATCAAGAAATGCCCAAGGCCCTTTCCAAGAGGACGCTCTCGGTGCCTCACCCAAGTGACACGTCCGCGGCGGCGGGGGCACACCGGGACGTCGCACTTGCAACTGCTGCTGCTGATGCTGCTTCCGCCGTTGCTGTCGCACAGTCTTTCCCCGTGGCTTCGTCGGGACTGGGAAGACCACGAACAAATAGGAGGGTCGACAACGGTGGCCGGCTGCGTGGGGGCAACCGTGCTGAGGTATGACGAAGGTATTCCTGTGTAACCCTCCGCCGATGTGATTTTCCGGAGTCGTGAGTTGCGGTTGTGCGCATGAAAGACTAATCGATACGCAACGCTGGTGGTAGCACCTTGCACGGCATGACTTTTCCCGAAGCATACAAGACGATTGGTTGCGGTTATGTCCCCTGCAAAAGAAACGCGCGTGCGCATTTCCAGAGAAACTAAAGTAGGCGACACACGGCCGGCATCTTGAGTGTCTATTTTCTTCACATATAAGTATCTTCTACCCATGACCATGGATGTTGGCAACAACCACAACAACACCAACGGATGCTTGTAACTTGTGCGACTTGTTTTGCGCGCACCATGTGGCCCTCCCGATATTTCGCGCCACTTGTTCCCACCCAAAGGGTCGGCCCTGCGTAGCCCACCGGTCGATTCTCCACCACGAGGTGGAACCATTGCAAATTTGCGACATGTGTGGGAGGCGCAGGACTCGTTTACGGTACCACTCTGGCTCATATCAGTGTCATGCCTGCCCGGCGGATCTGTGTGGTATGTGCGGGAAGCCCGGAACCCGACATGCTCTTCACGCCGATCGCATGTGAGTCGGAGGATGTGGGTTCAGTGTAAGCATCTGTTGAGTTGATACGATTTGTGTCTGTTGTTGCGTTTACGATTGTCGGCGTGTTTGTTGTGTCTTTTCGTCTTTTCTCCACGAAAAAAAATGTTCTTAAAGTGAGCCCGGTACTTCCGTGTGCGGTTTGCTGATCACTAACCCCACGAGGGGTGTGACGTCCGTGGTCGCAGGCTTGCAAACAACAATGAGGAACACACGGAACTCAGCTCAGCACTCTGCACACATACATCTGTTCGAATCGTTTGGCGAAGTTGTCACATCAATGACGGAAAAATGACGCGGTTTGGAATACTTGTCTTGCAAGTATCAGAAAATGTGACTCGCGAAAGACGTACAACAAGACAAATGACGTTTCGCTCAAATGATGGTTGCCTGGCTGGATGTATGACGTCATCGGGGCTCCCATCCTGGTTCTCCTAAGCCATGGCACGATGTCGCAGGGATTGATCACTCCGTTGGGTCGCAACTGTTTCGTACCTTCGGGCTCCTTAAGCACAGGGCTACGTGACGTAACGTTTGTAAGCTTCCAAGCATCTCGGTAACCCCTCCTGTGTCATGTTTCCAAAGCCTTCGGTTGAAACCCTATATTGTTGGTCGACTGCGAGTTTTTTTTATCGTGCACGTTGCCTCGTCGATGACGCCCGCAACGCGACCTTTTCGCTCGCCAGACGCCCAGAGCACCCCTTCTACATCCCTCCCAGGAGGTTATGGGTTCGACGATCACCACCCGCTGCGGCCCCCAGCACTCTGACTGCCGTTGGGCCCCCAACCACTCCTACTGGGGATGCCGCCGGCTGTCGTGGTGTATCGGTGGTGGCACCTCCCTCTGCCGACCCGTCACCAATGGACGTCGATGACCCCACTCCCGCTACCACTCCCACCCATGCCACGGGGTCCATCTTCGGCGGCATATCCGCAATCGGAACCGGTGTAGCTACGGTTTCGACGGCGCCGACACCAATGGCGGTGGCCAACCCCACTTTCGCCGCTCCACAAGCACCTCCTGCACCATCCACCTTTACTGGCAACGGTGCTCTGTTCACGCTCGGCGGCGGCGCGGCTTTAGCGACAACGGCGGCGGCGGCGGCGGCGACGACAATGACGACGACGACAGCCGTTCCCCCGACCCGCGTTTCCGCCATCAACGCCCGTCCGCTCTCCGCCGGCGCTTCGGCTAGCGTAGCCACAGCTTCGATGGCGCCGACACCAAAGTGGTGGCCAGCGCCACTTTCGCCGCTCCACAAGCACCTCCTGCACCATCCACCTTCAACGGCAACGGTGCTCTGTTCACGTTCGGCTGCGGCGCGGCTTCAGCGACAAGGGCGGCGGCGACGACAACGGCGGCGACGACGGCCCCCTTTCCCGGCCCGACCCTCACGGCTGGTGGGGTTGCCCCCCACGGACCCGGGGGTTGTACGGTATTGTCGGTAGTACCCGTGCCCAGCTTCAACTTCGACAAGGGCGGTGCAAACGGGGAAGGCGGTGCCGTCACTACTCCTCCGGCTCCCGCCGGTGCTTCGGCTTTCTGGCGCCGTCGTCGCTGGCTGGAGGGGTCGGCTCTGCCCAAGGCACGGGTGCTGCTCCGCTTCCTCCGGTAGCACTTAACACTACACAAGGTGGATCTTCGGGCAGTGTAGCTCGGAGAGCCAGTTCCAGCGGGATGAAACGGCGCCGGCAATGATGCTGCGCAATGACATGATGGGCATAGTAATCTTGTTCGCTCCTTGGCTGCATGGTGTTGCCCGAGACGAATACCTATCAACGTCACCTCGGTATTTCACGAACGTCGTCCTCATCGTTAATTGATGTACAACAATAATTCTCATCAGTCGAAAAGGCTGTTGTTAAGTGTGTTTGTTGTCCCGGCTCACTGTTGAAGTTGAGTTTTGAGGCTGTCGTGGAGTGGTCTTGGGCTCTGCATGCATGGCCGTACGTAGTGCGGGTGAATGAATGAGAGCTGTTGTGGATGTTGATGTTGATGTTGATTCTGATGTTGATGTTGCTCGTTGTCTTGGGCTTGGAGTGCTCGGAGTGCGGTTGGATATGCTTTAGGATAGCAGGGCGGGGTACACAGATATATCACGGGCTAGGAACAACACTGTCACTACCCTTCTTGTCTTTTCTTCCATTCTTGTTTCAGCGGGCGGGATGCCTGGCGTTCTTAACCACCCACCTGTACCATCGAGGGCTTGCTCCTCGCAGGACGCTTGTATATTCCCCTTCAAACGAGAGTCTTTGCCAGCATGCCACACAGCTGCCAGGACTGTTTTCCATTTCGAGCTTAGGGCTTCGCGACAGGTGGGCGTTGGGATATAAAGACAGGCGAAACGATGTGGCTGCGACGCAACGTTCCGTGCCGTTGTTGATGCTTTTCTCCGAAAAAATGTCCAGTCAGTCTTGGTCAAGAAGCGACCGAATGTTGTGCCTGTATGACGAGTTCTCGACTGACCCTGTAGGTAGTTGAGAGCTGCGCGTCAACCGGGTACCTCGCAGAGGGACCCACGCAAAGTTTTTTATCTCCGAGTGGGGCTTCGAGCAGAAGACTACTTTTCCATCTCCGACACGAAGTGCCTCGTGCGCCAAGCTGACATCCCTGACCTGACATGTTCGCATGGAAAAACACCCCATCACAACTGGAAGCACACTCACTATCCCACCCTTGCTCGTGGCTGATTTGATTAAAAAACATACTTCAGTCTAACCGAAAATTTAGTGAAACAGGAACGACAGCGCCCTCCAATAGAAGTATTATTCTTGCTGGGTTGTCTGCCGCCAGAGGAACGGAGTGGAAAACCCCGTAGCGTCCCTGAACATCCCTGAATAGTGTATCTCCTCAGTGCTCAACGCTGTTGTACGCGGTACGATGCGGTACGATGCGTACGATGTGCTCTCTGTTCGAGGACTCCGTGCTCCTGAGTCATGCTCCACAAGCACAACACCGACATCGTCAGCGCCCTCAGAGGCACTCACTCACTCCTGTAGTCTTGGCATGAATTGCTGAACCTCCAGGATTGAAGAAGCTCCGTCTCACGGACGGTGTCAGCATCAAGCGCCCCTCCCGACACAGATCGTAAGGGGCGAGGTGGAGAGATGCCATCCCAGGTACATACAGTAGACCAAATATATTCCAAAGCTCAATTGCTCCACAACCAAGAGGGTGCGGAACGAACACAACACGCGGGCGGAAAGCCCACGACGAGATACTTCCAAAACTACCTATGTTTGGTGTTGGTACAATCAGTCTTGGTTTGTGGGGGTAGTCTAGGCGAGCTTAGAAAACCGGCCTGGGGGGGTGTCATCTCTCTGCCTCGACTACTAACGGTAGTCTATTATTCGTGACCATCTTGGACGGACCTAAGAGGCCGGTCGGGACTGAAGCGGTATGTATCAGATTTGGCGACGGATGCGGCAGCCATCGTCTCCCTTTGGGCTGTGTTCTGGGTATATAGTCTAATGCATACGACAAAGCCAGCAACCGGGAACTGCGCTATCCTGTTCCTTCCTCCACAAGGGGAAGCCGGCGGCTCCGATGGTGACCTAGCACGCGGCGCCCGAAGCAACAGACAGGCGGCGCTGGAACTCGAAGGACTATTGCAAGATCACCGACATCATCTATCCGCGCAACATCGCGCGCCCCAGCGACCATCATGTTGTTGTCTTCAGGACTACACCAACGAGCCATCCCACCTGCGGTTCCCCCAATCACTGTACGGAATGGGGGAGCCGATCACGGGCAGGGACTGCTAAAAACGGCACCCCCCGACAGCTTTCTGCGTAGTAGAAGGACGGATGCCAAGCCGAGACGGTTGAACACCCACACGGCCAAACGTAACGGAGGACGCACCAATCGAGCTCAAACTCTTCAGAGTTGTTGCAACACGGCCAACGGAATGATTTTTTTCGCGCCTCGGGAGTTCGACCAAAACCAACGCTTGGTTTGGAGCTTCTGACTTGAAGTGATCACCGACGCACTTCACAGTTAAAATATCTGTATAAATTTAATGGTAAAAAAAAATGGTATAATATTCCTAACGTGGATCCGTAGTTTGTGTATAGCAACGTGGATACATCTTTGTTCCCTCGCGTCATGAGGCGAGAACGTACGCGAAAGAGGGAAGGATAACTTCGAACCCACCCGAGTCGACGTGCACGGCGGCTTGCCGCCACCCCGACTATTGGTAAATCACGTGATGGGGGGCTCAAAATCACACGCTTCCCAGCAAGCAGCCCAAAGAAGAGCAACAAAATATTGGCTGAGGTGATTGCTTCAATTGTTTCCCGACCCATAGCAGTGTAGGCTCCCCTCGCGTTCCCTTCTGTTCTTGTCGGCATCTCCGATATCGTTCCTCAACTCAATGGCCGGCGGTCGACACCATCCCCTTGAGAGGAAACGATCGTCCACGACTTCTCCTTCCACCACCCACAACGAGCGCTGAGAATGCAGCTGCTCTACTGCTGCTGTTACCACGCTACCACCGTAAGTCAACCAGACACGCCCTCTACTGGCCCAACACGCCACCAGCGGTTGCTGGCTGTTGAAAGACGGACTGAAGCTCCCTGTTGAGAAATCGCACTAAGCTGGAGGGGGGCCCGAAAGAGACCGCCTCTTCCGTACTACGGACAACATACCCAGTGACAAAAAATGCGTGGCATAGGGACGGAAGTTGACACTGAAGCACATGGACGCATATATATGCGAAACCCAACGCACTTACTCCCAAACACGACAAAACCAAAACAGCACACGATTCGGCCGGTGCGTGCTTGGTTCATCAGTGCTTTGAAAGCATAGATTTTGAAGCTCCTCGTTCGTCTAGTCTATGTTCCAATAACACCAGTACCACGACCTCTCGCCTCGAGCGCAGGCAGCATTGGAGTTATCGCTCCCTGAACGGTGCCTGTTTCGCGAGCGGCACGACGGAACAGCACCGGTCGAGTGAGACCCATCTCCTTTTCCGATCGTCTTCCAACTGACCCGTCTTCTCTACCGCCCCCCCCGCGGCCCCGCAACAACGCCTTCTTTCACCTGTTGTCTCATCCTGAAATAAGCACGACGGTACCCCCCAAAGACATCCACTTCCCTGGTGTGTAACCGTCCGCAACCGAGCCCACATCCACCCACGAGGACACAGGGGGCGCCAACACCAACAAGTGAACGGGGACCGTCGGAGACAGCTATCGGGCTTTCGTGCGTACTACCCGCACGCTCTGCTACGTTACTGCTGCCGCACGCAGGGGCACGTACAAAACCGAACCTGTAAGCCGTCTAAGCAACACAGCCCTTTTTCTCCCTTTGTGTTATTTACTCGGGGGCAAGAGATGGAGGGTCGTGCCACACGAGACTGCTGTTTCGACACGGCGGCGGAAACAAACAAGTCAAAACAAAGAAACATCTTTAGAAGAAAAAATATCCCAGACCAATTTCATCGAGACAGGCCGACACACCTACCTCCAACCTTAAAAAAACGCAAACTATCTAATCATAAGTGTACCCATCGTCGCCAGCACCTAAACCTACAACCCCCAATTACCCCCCCCCCCATCGACAAGCAGTCAGTCATTCGCTATGAAAACACCCCACGGCATGCCCGTCTTCAACACCAAGCACTATTCACCACCACCATCTACCGCTGTACCCCTGAAGTCTCTCGAGACACGTTGTTGTGACACCGACACCCGCCGCCGCAGCGACCGAGAGAGCGAGAACACAACCTTCCGACCAAAATAAGTCTGCTTGAGTCATCCACAAGTACATGCTTGGATCGCACCACGCACTCCCTCCCCAATGCCCCGCGAGCAAAAGCCGGCCTACCACTTGAGCAAAAATCAAAACGCTCCTGTTCCCATTTTCCTCCTTAAGGGCCTAGCGGCGGTATCGGCTGTGGCCCCCGCCGCCGCCGCCCATCATCTGCATCTGTTGCAACTCCGGCGGGACGTGGTTCTCCGACTCGGTTAGGATCTTGATGAGCTCGCGGCCGTTGCGGGAGTTCTTTGAGCCGAAGAAGCTCACGGCCACGCCCTTAGCGCCCGCTCGGCCGCACCGCCCGATGCGGTGGATGTAGTCCTCCATGTTGTTGGGGAAGTCGAAGTTGATCACCATCTGGATGTCCTTCACATCGAGCCCGCGCGCGGCCACGTCCGTTGCCACCAGCACCTGGAAGTTCCCGCCCTTGAAGTCCTTGAGGACGTAATCGCGCTCCTCCTGTGTCTTGTCGCCGTGGATGCAGCGGGCCTGGTACCCGTCCTGCCGGAGGGAGCGTGTGAGCGCATCGCAGCCCTTCTTGGTCTCCACGAACACCAGCACCTTACCGTTGTGGCCGTGCTGCTGCAGGTGCTTGCCGAGACTGCGGTACTTGTTGAAGTCCTCCGTGCACTCGATGATCTGCTTGATGTCCTTGTTCGCCGCAAGCTCCAGGGATCCCACCGTCACCTGCAAGAAGCGAAAAAAAGAAATAAAAAGGAGGGGGTGGCAACGAAAGGGGGTTAGTTTCTCCACACAAATGCATGCATAGCGACCGGTTTATCGATTCACCGTGGCGAGCATGCTATTCAACCGGTGGCCGCTGTCCTCGAAACGCTTGACCTGCCGTTCTAGGCCGACACGACGACAACAGTGGGCTTTCACCGGGGGATGGGATGACCCGCGCTCTACATGCGCCCACAGCATGTACCTCGTCCTGAAGACGCGTGTTGCTGTGGACACTACCGTCGTGCCCCTCCGCTCTCACAAAAATTGGGCCCCTTCGCTCGGAAAAGCGTCAGTGACCGAATATGGCCGCCACAGCCGCCGCCGTTGTCAACATGCTGCAGAGCGCCTCACGCTCACCCACTAGCAACTGTCCCACAACACCGACACCTGTCCAGGTTCTTCCGCGCGGTCACATCAACAACCAATCGTTCCCGAAACTCGAAAAAAAAAACAGGGGGTTTTGCTCCAATTTCCAACCTCGACGACTGCCTGCCCACCACCTCAACAGGGGCCGACCACATCGTCTACAACAGTCATCTCCAAACCTACGAACCACGCACGGCTCCAAGAGCCAACCAACCAACGAACGATCTGACTAACACATGTACGGACGGATTGATGTACCTGGTAGTAGTGGTGTAGGAAGTCACGCGCCAGCGCCTGCACCTCCTTGGGCCAGGTAGCGCTCCACATGAGCGTCTGCCTGTCGGGCCTGATCTGGCTCACAATCTTGCGGATCTGGGGCTCGAACCCCATGTCCAGCATGCGGTCTGCCTCGTCCAGAACCTGTGTTTCAAAAAGCGCGTACGGCAGGTTGGGGTATGCATCAAAAGCGGCAACACCTCGAGCAAAGTGTGGGCATGCGATCGGCGGGGGTGGGGACAAGAGAAGTGACCGTCTTCTGCCCTATCATCTTGTCGACAGCGAAAGGAGAACGGTTCCATGTCGCTCCACCCAGCTTGTTGCGTTTCAATTTTCGTCGTAGCATAGATAAGAGCCTGGCACACCTTCTTTCAACCCCCATCGCGGTCGGCGGGGCCAACGGCTAAATTGAACCGAACGCCTACTTCCAATGTTTTCTATATCACCCAACGAGATCACGACACCAGAGACACCCCCGCATGCACAAAAAAACAATCCATGACACAACCGAGAACGAACTCCGAAAAACACGCAATTTAGAAGCGCTATTCAGCTTCCCTGAGACTTGCGTCCGCTCCTTCGTCAGCCGGTTGGCACACGGTCGATGCCCACAAAGAAAAACACACACACAAACCACATGGTTGCATAGACTCCCGACCAGGAACACGCCCATACACATCATACACTCACCAGGTACGTGACGCGGCGCAGGTTAGTCTTTCCCGACTCGAGAAGATCGATCAGGCGGCCGGGGGTGGCGATCACGATCTCGACCCCCCGGCTCAGGTCGTTAACCTGGACGCGTTTGGGCACGCCTCCGTACACGCACGTGTTCTTGATCTCCGAAGACCTACCGAACTTGTCGCACTCCTCCTTGATCTGCACCGCCAGCTCGCGGGTCGGCGCCACGACCAGGACGATCGGGCCGTCTCCCTGCTCTAGGTACGGCTGCAGTCGTCGTCGTCGTTTTGGTTGTTGGTATACATTTGGCAACCCAAACGCCAACCCAACAGCAGCAGGGTCGCGGCCGAACGTACAAGACGAAGACGATCCACGAAGAGGAAGGAGACGCCGAACCAAACCCGTCAAGACAGAGCGACGGCATTGCCGGAAGGAACGAAAAAAAAAAACAGCAACACGCCGCCGCAGCAAGAGAGCACCGCACCCGCGAAGGTACATCGGACAAAACGCGCAGGGAGGCAAAGGGGGAGGGGGGGGGGGGGGGGGGGGGGGG